ATATATATATATATATATATATAACATTATGACATCACGTGCACTGTTGAGTTGGGAGAAGTGAAAATTTACAAATTTGCACTGTTCGAGTGTTGTCATTGTGTTGGGGAGAGTAAATGTCATGAATAAATTTGACATTAAACATAATCAAGTTTAAGTGTTACATCGTTTTCAGACCCCTTTGGTAGCAGCCAAATTGACAAAGACCATGCAGAATAATGTAGTTTTTTTAATTCTACAGCAGACAAAGATATGGAGTCTCTTTAAGTAGGTCTAGGGGAAAAATTATCAGTATTGGTATCGGTTATCGGCCAAATAATTTTAACACATCGGATATCGTCCAAAAATCCAATATTGTGCATTCATAGTTTTTATATTATGGTTGAAAACATATTTCCCTTCTGCCTTGAGTACTTGCTGTCTACCATAACAATCTCTTATCTCGACCTGAAGGCCGGCTCGTCGGCTCGCAGTGCCTCCTTGGCATTGTCGCCACGACAACATGCTCAAAACGTTCTCTTATCTCCATCTGGAGGCCGACGGCCATGGATCATGTCTGTGCAGCTGGCGGCGGGAACAAGACGAGGGAACACCAACTGAACTCCACTGCTGTTTTCATGTATGCAGATGACGATGTGATGCTGATTCTGTTACAATGTTCTCATACATGAGAACGTACGCATCCATGTATGTAACCAGTCCTGAATGCAGTCCTCACAAGTAAACTGTTAAAAATCACCTGCCGTGAATGTGGTTCTTTAAAGTAAATAACTTTAGTGAACGAGAGGATTTCTCCAACAACAAGTTAAGTTAATCATCTGCTAACAGTTAGCTAAGCTTGTTAGCAGAACTAAAATTACTCTATGGAGAAAAAAAAAACACTTTCGTATGTACAAAATAAAGCTATGTGTTTAATATTTTATTTGACTAGCTTCACAGGTGCTGCATTGCAGGTAATTTTACCAAACAGAACTTCAGTTTTTTACGATTCTCTGTTTCACATTACAAGCTAAGCTAATTACTTAGTATGGTATTAAATCCCCAAATTTCAAAGCCCCGTAGCTTAAGTCACATTCTTCTAAAACTCAATCTTAAATGCTGAGATTTACTATATTTTTCTTATTCTTAATAAATGTACTATTGAGGTGACAAACTGTGTATTTTCAACACACAGTTGTAAATTAGCACCCAAAAGGCCTAAATACAGTGATTAATTAATTGTTACATTTAAGACTTACCAATTTTGTGCTTGAAGTTTTTTTGTGCTAGTTTCTGTGGGACATAAACAAGAAGTGCTTTGTGAAGAAGAAAAAACACAATTATGTGGGTAGCCAACAAAAAACAAATTCACAACATACAGACTGCAATGTTATGTTCCATATTGGCTGGAAAAATCTAACACAACCTACAAACTCATAGTTGACATAGTCATGTCTCCTGCAAAACATCTGCACCCCCTTTCTACGATGTTGAGTGCAACCTAACAGCTTTGTGACTGCGTAACTTTAGTTGAAGCTAAAACAATCAGGACAAAATGTAGTGTTCGTATGTTAGAAGCTTCTACTTGCCAGCAGTCTGATGTTGACATTTGTTTGTGCATCTTTGGCTGGGTTAACTTGCTGGTTTTGTCTGTTGACCATTGTGGTTTTAGCAACTCATCCTTAATATTGGACTCTCATTGATGCTAGTTTGCCTGGTTTAATATAATTGGGCCTAAAAGAAATCCATGTTACCAAAAGTAATTAAAACTAGTATTTGACTTCAATCAAGAAGGAGCTACGGTAAGTCACAGACTTTTTCCATTTCCTGTTCCCTTGAAAATTCTGCAAAGAACCCAAGGAACCAGAGTGGTTGGGATTAAAAGTGCAACAGCACTCTTACCAAAGGACAAAACATAGAAAGTCATGTGGTTCTCAGAAGAAAATGTCCAATCATCCAAGAGATGAAGCAGGAACAAAGAGATTACAATGCACCCAAGCTTGAAAGTGGCACCCCTGTTCTTCTTGGTACCACTGTGGAGAGGAGAGTGCAGGCCCAGTCCAAGGCCAAACAGACTGCCCATGTTCCGCAGGAGGCTCGCAAATGGTGTAGTGTCCAGGTGGACCCACTCTGGCTTGACACACCATTTCTGGGCTTTATCAAGGGTCCAGAGCAAGTCCACTCCCAGAGCTTTTAACAGGACATAGAAGCCAATAGCAAAGGACGTCAGGAAGGCGGTGATGATGAGGTACTTGTTCATGCCGGCGCTGTAGATCCATTTCTTCTTGGAAACAAACTGCGCTACAAGTGTTCCTGAAAAATACCAGAAACGTGCGCTTGGTACCTGCTTTAAAACATCTGGCACTGCACCACATTTTAGAGAAATGTACAATTAGTTCATCAGATAATATCTTTGTTTTTAGACAAACCAACCTGTGATGACTCCTGCAACGACCTGGTGTGGGAAGTGAGCTGCCATGAAGATCCTGGACATGCAAACTACGAGCACCACCAGGACCGTTAGGGTCCACAGCCCCACCTGCAACAATCTGTCAGAGCGAATGCTGAAAGTTAGTGCACAAAACCTCCAGACTTCCTCAGTCTGTAATGATACCCGACTGCACTTTGAAGGACTCACTTGTAAAGTAAACGAGAGCAATGCTTTTCTGTTGCAATGGAAAGAAGCGCCGTCACCATCACATACCAGACGCCCGCTGCACCCATAGCATGACCTGAAGGACTTCCTAGAAGGAACACATTTTGAACTTAAACTTTTCAGAATTTAGTTTGATAGGATTCAGAAAAAAAGCATGAATAAATGTAAATAACTTTTTTCCAACCCGTTTTTTTCTACTTACGAAAAGTGTACAGACATACATTTTACGTGCACTTTAAAAAAATCTAAGAATTTTACAGTATATTTTCTAAATTTTAAGAGTTTCTCTATAATAGACATTGAATAAATTAAAAGTGCACTTTAAGAAGATGTCATTTCACAACATTTCAACTAAAGTAACTTGCAGGTCCTGGCCAATCCCTCTCTGCTGTGCTTCCCCTAAAGTTCACATTTGTAAAATAAGCCATCTAGTTACTATGGCAGCCACAGAGGTAGCAGGGTTTGGCCCCAACTGTTCTTTTTGACTTGGAAAGATGGATTGTGGCTCTTTTGCACTGGAGAAACTAAATTAATCCTGGCCACTCTCCTGCATGTTTTACTTGATTCCGTGCTCCAGCACATCTGATTGAATGGTTAAATCTTATCTGCTTCAGCGCCTCTTTCCTGCGGGGTTCTGCAGGGCTTGATTCTTGGACCCATTCTGTTTTCACTGTATCTACTCCGTTTGGGGTCTATCCAGAGGAAACATGGTCTTTCTTTTCATTCATTCATTCATTCATAGATAGATCAATAGATAAACTGCAATGAAATGTAGACTCAGCGTGTCTGCTGGCTTCTTTCCTCCTTAGATACCGGTAAATAACTTTACTAATTGGCATTTATAATGTATGTGAATATTTTTGTTCAGTGCCCTGAGATGACTTCTGTTGTGACTTGGTGCTATATAAATAAACTAAATTGAATTACCTCAGCATGTTTTGCAAAAGCGTGCTAAAAACTTGCAGGACAGTGGCCATCGAGGACCAGGATTGGACACTCCTGAGCATGCATGTTGATGTGCAAAACAAAACTCACTTGTGCACTCATTAAATTACTGAAGCAAAGATAAATAAAATACTATGAATGGACCAAGGTGCTGGAGTTGATACTTCATTCAAGACTATTAAAATTGCACCCATTCATAGAAGCCCAAAGCGTCTCCTGTCAATAACAAACTTAAATATTAACCAGACCAATAGTTCACTGTGCCAGATGGATCTAATCAATCATCGGCTTGTTCTTAAGAAGAAGGCAGACGTCACGTGGTCTGTACTATGAACCCTACCTGGTCCCGTCTCACATGTGATGGGAAACTGCTGCAGCAATGGGGCCTTTCCCGCTCCGTAAAACTGGGTCTCTTGAACCCACCAGTACGGTCTCTCCCCAGAAAGAACCCTGCAACGAAAAAACCCAACAAAATAACAGAAAGTCAGTTTTTCTCCTTTGCCCACTGTGTTGTACATTGACTCAAGAATCTTGTCCAGATTACCACTTCAGCACCAGGTTGAGCCAGTCCCCGACAACAGCCACCCAGATCAGCCTGATCCCAGTGTCCCTGCGCACGTGGAACCAGACAGGGAACAGGCAGAAGAACGTGGTGTGCAGGTCCGCCACCGTGGACGCAAAGTTGAACAAGCCCTTGTACCTGCTGTGTCTGGTCTGCAGGTGAACCGCCACCTCGACCCCCCAGCTGTGGAGAAGATCCATGACTCTGGCGTTGGTGGGCACGTGGAATCTGTGGTTTTGTGCACTTTTTGCTCGTCAGACGGGGTTCTGCAGCTCTCTGAGGCTGTTGCGTCTGCTTTTTCTTTGCAATTCCCATTTTGGACTTTACTCAAGGCTAGCAAACCTGTTTGCGTTTGGGACAGTACAGATGAGTTCCTTAACCTTTACACCCCCGAGGCCCCCTCTGCCGAAATCCATCAATAAATACAGCTGCGGCTGTCCATGCCACAAATCCACATTTACCAGAAAATTATCCTCCAAAACCAAAATCAGACTTTTTATGTTTAAATCCAAGCACCTGATGAATTTGTAGCCTCTTGTCCGCGCTGATAAATCATATTTCACCTTCGTAGATAATCCCTGTCTGACCTACTTGTCACCTTCCACAGGTTTTATTCCAGTCTCATCAGTTTCTGCTCAGCCTGAAGAGAATCATTCAATCTTTGATCGTCTTACGCAATCTACAAACCGGTTGCTCCATCGTAGTGGGATGTTTTCACCAAATCATTAATGGAACGATTATATAACTGATATAGAAAGACAAATAGTCTTATAGATTTGAAAAGTATTCAGGGAAAAGCAAACATCCTTCTGCATTCAGCAGGGAGTTGCAGGAAGCCTCCTCCCCTCAGAGCTGACTCAGTGGGAAACACTCCAACCCCCCCCCCCACCCCACCACTTTATCGTTTCACCTTGTTTGTGTGACAAACCTCCCAAACTCCGGGTGTTTTATTACGCGTGTGTCAGGTCCAAAGATCAGTGCGAGCATGCGTCTGTGTGGTGGGTCTCTTGGTATAAAATCAAGCAGCTGTGTCACTGAAGGCACCAGTCCTTTCAGGAACATCTCGCTCTCACTTCATCTTTACTTCTAACTGCTCCAGGCGAAGATGCTTGACGCTCTAATGGATGTCGTGCAGGGACTGGGGGTGAGCAGCACCCACTACCTGCAGACCAACTATAAGGATGCTCAGGGCTTGTTTCTGTGGGTGTCCTGGGCGGCGGACCTCAGGAACACCTTCTTCATCTTTTTCCCGCTTTGGTTTCACCTGCGGCCTTCGGTGGGCATCAAGCTCATCTGGGTGGCTGTCATCGGAGACTGGCTGAACCTGGTCTTTAAATGGTGAGCTGAACATACATACAGATAATAATAAATCATTTTAAATATCTCCTAACCGAGTTGTTTTCTTCAGGATCCTGTTTGGCGAGAGGCCGTACTGGTGGGTCCACGAGGCGTCTTACTACGCAGACTCCACTCGACCTCACATTGAGCAGTACCCGATGACCTGCGAGACCGGACCAGGTGAGGGATGCCTCCACACACACAAGGCTGCGTCAGCTTCCTCCCTCCTCATCACAATCTGCAGAAGTTACTGTTCAAATACTGCTCAGGGTCCATTTATCGCGCCTAAAGTTTAGGTTCGTGATGCCAGTTAGCGTCTCGCAGTTTGGATCGAATCACCAAACACTGAGTCCACGTGTGCACAATAAATATGACTGTGAGGGTTAAAGCCGTTTGAATGCAGTCAGCTACAAGATTTTTGAGCAATAACCTTACAGTCGTGATTATGAACAATTAATACATTTTATTAAAGTAAAAATAACAATTCTGATAAAAAAATTATTATTAAAACCAGACATATATAAGAGATTTCACTCTGCTTTTATATCTATTGCGTCATATTCTTCCATTTAATTTAGCGTTTTATTCACATTTTGATCTTTTTATTAAATTATTCTGTTTTTCTTTTTTGTCTTCCATCATTTTATTTATTTGCGTCTCTTTGTGGTTTCGCCTTGCTTTTTTTTTTGTTTCTTCAAGAATACTTTAGTGCAAAATTACAGAATAACTCGGTGAGCGTTATGTAATGTTCCTAAATGTATGACAGCGTCTGAATTTTATATATTTTTTTATAATTTTATATGATCTGCAGGCGTTAAAAGTCAAGAGAGATAAAATTTAAATTTAAAAAAAGCAATCAAACAGAGGAAATCTTTGTCATCATACGTTAAATGACACCATCAGTGAGGTGTATTTGCTTTATCATCTTAATAATAAAATGTTTTACAACAAAAAGGCAGTTCTTTTTGATTTTCTTTGTATTTGTAACAAGAAAAAATACTAATTTTATTAGTTGAAACTGCTGAAAACTGATACTTTGAGGCGTCTTCTTGGGCAAATGCATATTTTTATATTAAATAAATAAGACGAAAAGTAACCATTAGGTTTAACTTTAAAACATCATAATTAAACCAAGCAGCATTATAAGATATTCAGCTTTTTAGATAAAATAAAATAAAAATCAAGTTGATTAAATCAAGTTGTCATTGTCTGTGTAATCTAGGCAGCCCTTCTGGTCATGCGATGGGGGCCGCGGGGGTCTACTACACCCTGGTCACGTCCATCCTGCTCATCCTGAGCAGCAACAAGACCCACAAGAAGTCGTCAAACATCAACTGGTGAGTCCAAAAATAAAGAAATAAAGAAAAGAAATGGACGGAAAGCTGCAGTTTTACTTCTCGTCTCCGCTGACGTCAGCTTTGTTTACCACTTTCCCCGTCCCGAGTTTATCGTTCAGAACACAGTATCAGTACCGGAGTTGATCATTGACTCCTGGGGGGGTAACTCATTGAATGTAGGGTGCTATTCTTGGCTTGTTCAGATCTCGAAGCACATCAATAACTCATCAAAATCAAAATAGATCAGTAGTAACCATTTTGTTGCGTTGTGTCCTGCGGTTCTGATTAATTTATTGTTGTTGCAGGTATGTGAAGGCTGGTCTGTGGTCCCTGTTCTGGGGGGTCCAGGTGTGTGTGTGTCTGTCCCGGGTCTTCATTGCTGCTCACTTCCCCCATCAGGTCATTGCTGGAGTCGTCACAGGTCAGTGTGAAACGTTCCCGGCGCTTCAGCGCGGCGCTCAGAAAGCGGGGCGTTCTCTGACACGCTCTCATCTCCTGCAGGTATGATCGTGGCCGAGGCCTTCAACAGAACCCGGTGGATCTACAGCGCCAGCATGAGGACCTACTGCTACACCACCCTCTTCTTGACCTCCTTCGCGGTCGGGTTCTACCTCCTGCTCAGAGCTGTGGGCGTGGACCTGCTCTGGACCCTGGAGAAGGCTCAGAAGTGGTGCGTCCGGCCCGAGTGGGTCCACCTGGACACCACGCCCTTTGCCAGCCTGCTGCGGAACATGGGCACCCTGTTCGGCCTGGGTCTGGGCCTGCACTCGCCGCTGTACACAGAGGCCAAAAAGAGCAGCAGCGTTTCGGTCCGAGCGGGGTGCGTCGTCAGCTCGCTGCTGCTGCTGCACCTGTTCGACTTCTTCAGGCCCCCCACCCACACCGCCGCCCTCTTCTACCTGCTGTCCTTCTGTAAGAGCGCCACCGTGCCCCTGGTCACCGTCAGCCTCATCCCGTACTGCGTGAACAGAGCTCTGAGTGTGCACGACAAAAAAGGCATGTGAGCCAAACCCAAAGACTGAAGAGACTCTTCAACGTGAACTTTATTTTGGTGCTCCGTGTTTTACTGGACTCGGAGAAGCTTCGAGGCGTCGTGCCGTTTGGACACTGAACCGCTGAGGAGCGCTCCGCTCGTTTCTGGGATCTGGACAAAGATGAGCGCGTGTTTCAGGGAATGTTTGCGTGTCGGCTTTGATAGGTTATTCCAATTGTCATAAAAGTGTATTTTTGAAAGTATTTTTTTGAATATTTTTTAATAAAAATCAGTGGGAAAAGTATCGACTTTGTCCTTTTTTTGGATGTTTGTTGACTGTTTCAGTCCCGTAATGATTCATGTTAAAGTCCAAGCTCTGAACTTTGCAAACTATTAAATTAAACGTTATCTTGAACACTCCATGTAAACAAAACGCTCGGCTGAATCAGCTGAAAACCACGTGTCTGACCTACATCTGGCTGGTAAACAAACATGGCGGAACAAGAGCAGCGTGGCGCCTCAGAGAAAACATTTAGGTGGAAACGCGAGTGAATAAAGAAATGGAAAAGAACGAGTACGACCAAATCAATACAGTGAAGCACCTTAAAGTCCAACGGTCTGACCTGTTGACCTGTCTTCAGTCCCTTGGGCTGTTTCTGCAGGTAAACAAACACACCAGGTGTTTGGCATCTGGTCACACGGTTGAATTTAAGGACATGGAAAAAGTTTTACTCGTCTTCATGGAGTTTACTTCTGTTTCCAACCGATAAAGAATCCTGTTGTAGAAAATAACGACTCGATGGGCATTTCTTTTCGGCGAGCGAGGACGAGGCCATGCTTTTCTCACGTTTGAACCTCAGGACAGGTGTTTAGTCGTAGCTCCCGTCTTTCCTCTCCAGGTCTTGTGGCTTCGACCTTCTGTTTGTTTGAGAACTGATCTAAATGTTTTACTGATGACCTGTGAGGCCTCGGATGGACAGACTCCTGTGCATTCGTGTGACTCCTGCAGCCTTACGTTGCCTCCAGATCCTCCAGATCTAATGATCATTTGGTTTTGGGTCCAGGCTGGTCCACAGAGGTGTTCTATGTCGTAAAGGCTTTGCCCTTTAAGGCTATCGCTAGTGGATAGCGCAGCACTGAAAACTTTAGTCCACGCCCACCTCCGGTCTGTATAAATTGCACTGAGACCGCGGATCGGCTCCCTTTTGTCTTCAGCCAGCAAGCAGCATGAGAAAACTAAATGGCAGAAGATGATGTCCAGCGGAGACCTTCTCCTGTCCAGCCTGCAAGGCGGGATACAACCTCAGCTACGGGTCTTTTCAGTTGTTTCTCCTAAACGTCGGAACCAGCAGCTCCTTCGTATTAGACAACTCTTGGTGCATTTAAGCCTCTTGGCTTTTAATACGGCATGACAGTTGACAGCTTTGTATTGTTTTATTTTTTTAACGGTTTTTATGATCTCATGTCCAATGTTGTCTTTTTACTATTTGCACTGTGTGCAGCACTTTGGCCAACGATGGTTGTTTTTAAACGGTGTAGGAGTTCCAGTTTCTTCTCTTGCAGCTTTCCTACACCAGGGGGCGCCAACAGAACCACACCTGAGCGCCACTCGCCTGATGAGCTGTAGGAGTACTAAAGGCAGTAGAGGACTGCAATCAGACGCTGGTGCGTTATCTGCCAATCGCTGGACTCCTGTGGTCCTCCTGAGCCTCGGACCTTCCCGATTGTCTCCTCCTCCCGTCGTTTCTTGCCTTCCGTCACTTGCCTATCGTTTGTTTGAGACCACTTGGACCTTCCTCACTCCTCGCCATTTTAACCTTTTTGGATTTTGCCTCCGTGGCAACTCTTCCTGCATACAGGTTCCAGTCATGCCTTGCTTCTTCATACTGGTCACATTTATTCACTTTCTGTAAATAAACATTGTTAAACTTTCTCCTGGCCCTGAAGTCGTTGTCCTCGGTTGCATACCATCTGGGTATAGAGCCAAATCTTACAAATGGGCTATACGAACTAATTCGATTTGATTTGGATAAAAGTGCTGTGGTTGTGAAGGAATTCAACTCAGGAAAGCAGATGGACTTGAGGAGCTCAAACTTAAATCTTTCTGTATTCCAAAAAGCAAAACAAAATGGCTGCCGTGGCAGCAAAACCACGAGGTCACAACTCGGGAATGATCACAAGGACCACGAGGAGGACTGGCAGTGGCACGAAACCTAACATTGCTGGACTGAGGAGGGAGGGGGAACTGAGACTGATGAGTGGAGTCTTCATCTTCAAACCAAACCAGAGGTTCTCAGCTGGACTGAGTTCTGGACCATTTCCCAGGTTCTCTTTAAACCCTTGGAGCGGTGGGTTAGCATCTTTGTCTCAGTCGCAAATATTTGGGAAAAAAAAGTCTGGATTTTGCTCCAGCCTTCTCTTTTTCAGATCTGAGAAGTTCCCCAGACCCTGCTGAAGAACAAACAGCATGATGCTGCCACCTCCGTGCTTCATTATAGGGACGGTGTTCTCATCCTGATCAGAGGAGCTCAGAGTCCGACGTTTTCTTTAGGCCCAGTTCACTTCCATGCAGCCCAGCTTCTACTGGTCCTGTGGACAGATCCTCCAGTCTCTGCAGAAGATCTAAAGTTATCTTTGGCCCCCAAAGCCCCCTTATAGATCTCATGTTCTTTATTTGTCATTTTGTGTAACCTCGGTGGATAAAGACAGTTCTGGAACAATGCAAATCAATATCTGAGCTGCAGAGACGTGTCTTTCAGCCTGACCTGCAGCGATTACCGGTACGTAGATCCACACGTCACTCGTGCCTCTGTGGCGGTTTGTACAAATACAGTCTGTGGTGCAAGCAGAACATTCAATATTTGTATTTTGTGGAATCAGCTCGTGACTTTTCTGCTGAACGTTCAAATAAAACAAACTTCTGTGTCAGAGAAGCTAAAACAAAGCGCTTATCTTTGAAGGTAGAAAAAAAATCCAGATGAAGTTCAAATGTTGCAGGAAAACCTTGTGGCTCATCTAAAAATATGGTTCGACAGGAGCCAATTCTGTGTTCATGAGCAGGTTCACGATAAGCTGCCCATGAATGATGTAAGGAGCCACGTGGCCCCAGGCTGCCCTACATACTGATCGAGCTCCGTGGGGGCCCCGTCTCAAAACCCACTGACCTCTTCGTGTCAAACGGCTGCTTATTCAGACCAAAGTCTGAGGACACGTCCTGTGGGTCCACCCTGTTAAAGACGTCACATTTGTCAGCCTTCACGTTTTCTGACAGAGCAAACAGCTAAAATACAGAAACATCTAATAAAGCTTAACCTTGACCAGGTATTAACCTTCATTTTATTATCGTGGTGAATGCTGAGTCAGCATTAATTCCTGTTCATAGCTGATTTTTTTTGTGTACTTTGTGTTCCTTTAATCTCTCAAATATCAACACTTTCAGCTCAGTCGGCAAAAGTAAAACAACTTTTAGTATTTGTAGTTTTTATACTTTTTGAATTATTTACAAAAATATTCAAAATAAAGAGACAAGGATAAATATTCAATTTATTTAAAATAATGTTTTCAGAAATCAAATCAAGTTTTTTGCTCAGTTTTTGTATTTGTACGCTCCTATTAGCTTTTAGCTGCTTCTGTCTTGCTAATTTAAGCTTTTAGATTTGACCATGCTTATTTTAGATTTCAGCTTTTACCCATAATTTATAAAAGTTTTAAACTATTTTTTTAAATTTGTTTTTGGTTTTAGCTACTGTTTTGTTAATTTTAGTTTTTAGGTAAGATGTTGCCAACTTCACCTTTCAGCTACTGTTTGGATATTTTTAGTTTTCCCCTACGATTGTATTTTCCTATTGCTAGAATTCAGCATTTTTGTTATTTTTCACATTTAGCTACTTGTTTGGTAATTTTAGCTTTTAGATATTGCTTAGTTTTGATTTTACTTATTGTTTTGATCATTTTAGCTAGTTTTGCTACTTACGACTTTAATTTATAATTGAGCTAATTTTAACTTTCAACTATGGTTTTAATCATGTTAGCTTTTAGCTACTGTTAAAACTTTTAGCATTAAGCTAAATATTTGTCCATTTTAACTTTCAGCAATTTTAGGTGATTTTAGCTTCGTTCTGCTTGTTTTAACTTTAACAATACGCCTACTGGTAAAAGTACAGGCAAAATTATTCAGCACTTTAATTCACTGTGTATTTTACCCCCAAAATGCTATTTATATAATAACACTAATAATACTACTACTACTGCTAATTATTATTATTAAGGATGTCAGTATCAGATAGAAGTCCATAAAAGACTGAAAAAGTAGTATTGTTTAAAGCAAAAATGACATTTTTCCAACACATCCTCATAAAAAAAGATCTAAATAACATTCACTTAAGTCAAATAATTATAGTTAATAAAAAATGCACTATATATTGTGTACTGATAGAATCCCACTACACATTCTAACAAGAACCAAAACCTGCAGACGAGATTCTGAAGCAGCAGCGGTGTAGTGACCCGTCTTTACCGGGTTTGGCCAGCAGGGGGCGGTGTGGAGCAAAGTTCACCACGGCCCTGCAGGAGAAGAAGATTAAAACTTAAAGCTGTTTGAAACTTTTTCAGTGGTTCTTCAGTGTTGAAGCTTTTAAAAAGCCCAAATAATAATAATAACAATAATAATAATAATAATGATGATGATAATAATGATAATAATAATAATAATAATGAGGCTTAGCGTGGTTGTCATGTTTAAAATTGAGTCTTTTTACGGACAAACCGTGGCCTCTTCACACCAAATCCTGAAAGCAAAAATTCAGGTCACAATGTTAAATATAACGCAGAGCAACACGAGATATTATAATTTTATGATGCAGTGCTCAGGCTAAAGGCTCACCAAGGATAAAACTTCAAAAGTTCGACACAGAAAAACCAGTTTGACTTAAAGTTGTTCAGTTAAAACAATTTATTTGTATTTTTTTTGCTTAAATAATTACTTGGGTCATCCAGTGTAGGTTATGTTGGTTCATCATACATGTTGGTACCAGATTCATGATCAGTGAATGCATAGGGTGGATTTGTATGGAACAAAAAAAAAGTACAGAAAAAAAGATTTACACACACAAAGAAATAGACATTTTTACCACCGTGTGATCACGGGTGTGATTTGTGTGATTCCAGCTGTTGGTTCGCTTTGATTCGGGTTAAAAACGAGATCCTCTGGTTCTGGTAAACAACAGTTAAACAAGATGAACGTCATAAAACTACAAAATCAAAACAGTCCCCATTTTGAAAAGAGTGGAGCTAAAAGATCTCATTTCTAGTGTGTGATGGGTTTACAGAAACACACGTTTTATGATGACACACACACGCACGCACACAAAAGCATCGTCTTCTTGCGTTCCAGTGCTTTGAATGAGCTAAAATAAAAAAAGCGTTGAAAATCGGGTGACGTCACATGCAGCAACATGTTTCTCTGAAGGATGATGCACAGTATCAGAGCTGTTGGCTGTAAAGACAAAAAAAAAAACAATAATTCAAATAATAATAAACGTGTTTTTCCTCCGTTCGTTCCTCGTTTTGTTTGTGTAGGAAGAGCAAATCAGGTCACACACTCAAGGCAGCTCAACAGTGTCGACCTCAAACAAACTCCACAAAGCTTCATCTTGGATCAGTGCATAAACAGTCTGTGAAGCTACTTTTATTTATTTTTTTTAGATTTTTATAGTCATTTATATACAACAAAGTCCACCTGCTGGACGTCTTACAAAAGAACCGCATGGCGCTCCCCAGTCCTGCAGGTCCAGGAGGCAACAGAAACGACGAGTGTCTGAGAGTGAAGCCTGCGCCGTCGGCCGCTCTTCCTCTCTCTTTTTGTTCCGGCTTCAGTTCATTCGCCCAAAACTTTTGAGTTTCCAGGTTTTTCCAGCTCACGTCCATCATTTTGTGAGTTTGGTGACATGCTCATGCGAAATCAAGAAAAAGTAACGTCGTTTTGCTGGAAACCATGCGTAAAGTGAACGATTCAAACACGACTGGCCCGGCTCCTGCGGGGGCCTCGTCCTGAAGTTGAGGGTGGGGTCGCAGGTGGACCCTCAAAAACCTGGAGAGGAAGCGGACAAAAAATACATTTAAACATTTTTTTCCTTTTATTTCCCTACAGACTAATAACTGATTTTGAAACTTTAAACTAAGATCCAGCGCTGCGGCTGTTTTGTAGAGGAGACAAGTTAATCTCAGAGTATTTGTTGTGAGACACTCTCAGCTACTACCACACCAAACTTTAGGTCAAAACTGGCTGAGGTATGGCCTAATGCTGCGTAGCAGTGGCAGACATCTTGAATCAGGTTGACTCCAAAACATTAATGGTGACGGTCTAGTATAAGGCAGCACCTATTATTATCCACATGACAAGGGTTTCTTAACTTTATACTTTACTCTTCCGTCAGCTTTAATGTTGCCTGAACCACAACGTGTACCCCCACAAATGTGATGTCAAAACGACCGGCTCGGCACCATGATGTGTTATTACTTTTATTGGCGTTTCTAGTTACCATGGCGATGTAATTTGCAAACAAAGACGCCATTTTTCCCCATTAAAAACACCTGACAGAACACTCCTCACACTAACTGCTGCTGTGAAGTCACATGACTTAGAGTGTAGAAGTCCGTGAAGAAATCTTAGAAAGTCACTGTTGGATTTGTTTGAAACTCACAGAAAATAATCAGACCTGATGTATCTCTAGAACTGATTAACGTTTGGAGCCATTTTGGTTCAAGATGGCTGCCACAGCTACCTCAGAAAACACAAAACTGACTATAACTCTGTCATTCTTTGACATATTGAGCTGAATTTTGGTATGGTCTTAGCAGAGAGCGAGCTGTTTTACAAGTAAATTACAAATTCAAGATGGCCACCTTAGCCAAAAGGGGAAAAAACATGACAACTTAGATATTTTAAAAGATATTGAGCTGGAATTTGGTGTGGTGGAAGCTGACAGCGATGCACATTAAATACTGAATTCAAATGAAAAAATCCAAGATGACCACCAAAGCTACATTTAAATGGATTTAACTCAGCTACTTTTACACATATAGAGCTACTTTTACACATATAGAGCTACTTTGTAAATGTCTATGTTGATGACACAGTTGTTTATTGTCGAGTTAAAACAGTTGATAAGACTTTCCAGCTTTCACAATCTTTTACACACATAGAGCTGACATTTGGTGATACACATAGAGCTACTTTTACACATATAGAGATACTTTTACACATATAGAGCTACTTTTACACATATAGAGCTACTTTTACACACATAGAGCTACTTTTACACATATAGAGCTACTTTTACACATATAGAGC